CCATAGACCTCTTTGCAATTATAATGAAGTCTATGCAACTTCTTAGAACAATTGTTTTTAAATGCATAAAATGAAATATAAGATTACAAAGGAAATAACTATATATTTTTCTGCTTGTTTTTTGTTTTTGTTTTTTTGGGTTTTTTTTTCAGCCAAAAACAACACCTGTCATATTGAGTAGACTCTTAAGGAGTCGGAATTTGGTTATTGAGCTATTGGCAGTGGCTAGATCATAAGAATCTGAGATGAAACAATTATATTAAAATATAGTTATCAACATATATTTTTAAAAGTTTATAGACTTCTAGTTAAGAGCCCCTGCTCTCAGTGAATTTCTCTTGATTAGAAATAAGGAAATTGAATCCCAAAGAAATTATGTAAATTAGGCAAATGGAAATAGAAAAATTGTTGGATTTATCGTTAAAAAACACTGAATTCAAATCTCAATTCTATCAGGTAGTGCCTGTAGGACTTTGGGTAATCATTCAATTTCTTCATTTATACATTTTCTCATTTGCCTCACTTTCCTGATTAGTGAAATGTAAGAGTTGGAGTAGGGAAGGGAAGATCTCTTCTATCCCTAAAAGTATGATCGACTTGTAAGTCTATTACAGTATAGGGGATTTTTAAAAGTACTTAATGACTTGAAAAGGTAAATGTGCTTCCAAAATCCAACTCTTCCTCAACTCTACTGTTTTAGGCCTTTGGGAAACAGATAACATCTTCTTTTGATAAACATGCCTGCCCAAGGGGCCAACAGCATAGCTGTAGGAGGTAAAGCTGTCAGCAGCAACAGAAATTTGAATTTTAATATGTCTGCTGAGATTATGGGAATACTAATAGCCACTCTGCATTTCTGAGAGGGGAAAGTCAGTGAAATTCCTGTTGTCATCATAGTGTATTGAGAATGCAAGTAGAAGTGAGTGTAGAAATACTTTTCTCCAATTCATTTGTAAGGCTCTTTTAACATAGATGAAATTCAATTAAATATGTTTCACTAGGAAAAAGTTAGGAGAAACACTTGAAGAAAGATACTGACATATGAAAGGAAAGAATAAAACATACAAACTCACTCCTAAATCTTTCCTTCAAATATCAACAACAAAGAGTTAAAAATAACCGATGTCCAAAGTACTTATGGGAAAATTGTCTTCAGATATGCAAATTGGGAATTTTTATGTAACCTGTCTTCTGAGAGATGCTAGAGGTTCAGAGGGGTTAGAGGATCCTAAAATATGTGTCAGAATCAGGACTTAAACTTAGTTTTCTTGATTGTAAAGGGTCCTTTTAATTATACTGCCAGTTTTTAGAGCAATTATTTATCAAGATTCATCATCAGTCAACATTATTGAGTATCTATGATACACAAGTTTAATCTGAGCAATAGCGGATGCCAGTGGGCATCAGAAATGTTCCCCGATTTCAAGAAGGGATTTTCTAGTTGAAGAAATAGGAAAAATGCACAGAATTATCAACACAAAGGATAAAGCTCCTACAGATGTATAACAAACATCCAAAGGTGCTATCTGTACCTTCAACTCAAAAAGAGGCTAAAGGGAGGGTGAACTGGGGAGCCGTTCAAAAATAAAACTCCATCTCAATTTGTTAAGTATCTGTTGTGTAGAACTGGAGTTCAAGATTTCCTTTTATTGTGTTTTACTGGTGTGATTTTGGGAAAGTTGCTTTTTTCCCCCAGGTCTATGTCTTCTCATCTTTTAAATGAGTCAGTTGGACTAGAGAATGTCTGAGGTACCTTGGAGTCAGGAAGGCCTGAGTTCAAGTCCCACTGCAGATACTTATCAACACTGTGACCTTGGGCAAGTCAAGGAGCCTTAATAATATCAATTTCCTCCATGGCTGTATTTGGAAAAGTTGAGATAATGTTTGTAAAGTAGTTTGCAAATCTTAAAGTGCTGTATAAATGTTATTCTTCTTCTTATCATTAACCTATGTGCAAGAGAGAGTGTTTGAGTCTGATTACATGGAGACAAAAATGAAATAATCCATGCCTTGTACAAAAAAAGGGAAGAGCACCTATTTGTACCAAAATATTTATACCAGCTCTTTTTGTGGTGGTATTGGATTGGAAATTGGAATTGGACTTGGAAATCAAAGGGATGCCTTTCAGTTTGGGGAATGGCTAAACAAACCATGGGATATGATTGTAATGCAATATTAATGTGCTATAAAAAATAACAAGCGGGATGATTTCAGAAAAAAGCTGGAAAGACTTAGATGAACGGATGAGTGAACAGAACACGAAAATTGTGCAGAATAGCAGCAATATTATATAATGAAGAACTGTGAATGACTAACCTATTCTCAGCAATACAATAATGTAAGATGATCCAAAAGTACTAATGAAGAAGCATACTATCTGTCTGCAGAGAAAGAACTGATTTGATTGAATAAAGACTGAAGCAAGCTATTTTTCTTTTATATATATTTAAGTCTTCGGAAATGTTTCACGTAATTACACATGTGTAACCTATATCTGATTGCTTACCGTCTCAATGAGAGGGGAGAGGAGAGAGGAGAGAGGAAGTGTTAGAATTTGGAACACAAAACTTTAAATAAAAATGTTTTTAAAAATTGAAAAAAATATATGTGATAAAGAAATTTATGTTTTATTTGGGGAATACAAAATGTATACAATTAAATAGATGTAATTTTCACTTAATACTATTTTAAGACCAGGAAAAAATTAGTGGGTGGGAGAAGGAAAGGTATAATCCTACCTGGAGGGTCCTCAGGAAAGATTTCCTGTAGAAGGGGGGACCTGATATGTGTGTTGAAGGATGCCAATATTTCTGTCAAGTGGAGAAAACATGGTAGTTAGGAGGTCTTCCCCAAAAAGGGAAGACCAAGTGGACAAAGACAAAGATGATAGTGGATAGAATGTCAGATAAGAAGAAGCAAGTGGTAGGCCAGATTGACTGGAAGGAGAATAAATAAAGTAGTAAATGAAATAAGATATGAGATGTAGGTGGGAGGCAGACTTTGGAATGATTTACATGGCAGGATGTCGATGTTGTATCTTGATGCTTTTTTGAAGTCTGTGTTTGTATTTGTGTTTGTATAGGCTATATGGTCAGATAGATATTTTGCAAATATCCATTTGGCATCTACACGGGGGAATGGATTGAAGAGCAGATAGAATGAAGGCAAGAATGAGGGCCTAAAATAGAATGACAACTGTGAGTGGAGAGGAGATATATACAAAAGATATTGTGGAGGTTAGGTATTGGATTTGTGGTTTTATGGAGAGGGAAAAATCAAGCTTAGTTCCTAGGCTAAAAATGTGGTACCTGGAAAGGTGATGTGTAGAGGGCCGGCTTTGGGTAGTTGGAGGGCTTACGCCATCCCGGTCTTAGCTGCTGCTTGTACTAAGCCTGACAGCTGTGAAACTCAGGATGTCGGCTCACCACCCCCCTCTTCTGTCTTTTGAGAACAGGATGCAGGAAGGGAGGAAATGGATGGGGTACTGGACAGGACACAGGAAAGAATGCAACAGACAAGGTACAAGGAAGTAAGGAAATCACTTAATTAGATTTGTACTTTTCATGAATAATAATGTTACTATTGCTTGATCCAGTACTATATAAGCCTGAGCCCTCAGATCAATAAACAGAGTTTTTTCTTCACTGCCCTCACCTGGCCCATGATTCTTTCTCTCTTCACACTCTGCAGCATCAGACCACAGCCGGGGATGCAGGCGCTCCCAGCAGTGGTGGCTCCTCCAACAGAAATAGTAAAGTTTCGAGGAGTATAGGGGTTTTTTTGAGGGGGAGAGGGGAATAAAATCAGTTCATTTTTTGACATGTTGAGTTCAATACAATTCCTTCATGATACCTAGTTGGTGTTGTATAGAAGGCAGATGGTGATTGGGGTTGGAGTTTAGAATAAAGACTAAGGAAAGATATGTAGGTTTGGAGTCATTTGCATAGTGATCATAATTAAACTCATTGGAGCCAATAGGATCAAAGAGAAAATTCAAAGATAGAAATTAAGAGACTCTAGGCTAAGGTTCTGAGTGCTGCCTACAGTTAGTGAGAATGATTACCCAGGAAAGAAGTTTGAACAGTACTAGCTGGACCTGAAGTAGGAGAATAGAGAGAAATCAGCATTCCAGAAGCCAAGGGAGAAGGAATTTTTTAGGATTAGTGAATATCAACAATCCCCAAAGCTTCTGGCAGTCAAATAGGGTGAGGAACAGAGAAAAGGCCTTTCATTAAATTTAATAGTCTAGATTCTTGGTAACCTTGGAGTGAGTAGTTTCAGCTTGATTGTGGGGTCAGAATTCAGTCAGTGTACATACATTTATTTCGTGCTTACTTATATGTCAGACGCTGTACTAGTAAGCACTGAGGATATAGACCACAAAGGATGGAGAAGTAAATGGGAGTCAAGGAAATGGAAGTAATGTGCAGACACTCCTTTCTAGGAGTTGGACATGAAATTAAGACGAGATATAGGATGGAAGCTTGAGGAAAAAGCAAGTTTTCTTTTTTCTTTCTCTCTTTTTTTAAGGATGAGGAGAACTGAACAGGTTCTAAGATTTAGTAGTAAGTACACTGGTGGATGAGGAGAGATTGGAAATTAAAGAAACAATTTGCTTGCCTTCTTGCCTTCTTAATGGGTGTAAAGGAGGGAGAGAATTCTGAACTCAGAATTTAAAAAAAGAGAATGTTATAAATGAATAGGTAAAATTTTGATTTAAAAAAAAAAGCAAATGAATGAAAGAGAATGATATACTCCAGAAGAGATGGGAGAGGACAGAATCAATAGTGTGGCAGAGTAATGAGGATTGGAAAGGAGAAATTCCCCATCCCAATCCCCATGAGAAACTGAAAAAGGAGAATAGAATGGTGGTGGGGTCTATGAAGAAAGTGTGAAAAAGGAAAAAAAGAAAAATTTCATACCATATGTCTTCTGTTTTCTCATTTAAATAAGAGGAACAATTTTTGTATTATTCTGTTGATTCCTGCTTCCTAACACAGAAAGTTAATAGATCCTTTTTCAATTGAAAGAGGATGGGAAAGAAAGAAGCATAGAACTTCTGACCAAGCCATCAAATGAAGAGCTAAAACCACATGCAATGAGGCCAACACCTACAATCGGCTAATCACTGTGAATGTAAGTTGTATGGATTGTACAGGTTTAGAAAACAAGTCAACTCTTTAGGGACTCCATGTTCTCCATACTTGGACTTGCCTTCAACTCTAGACTAGAATTGTAAGTTTGTAGGCCCTTGGGGAAGGGAAAGCCAAAAGAAAGTTGAGTTTCTTGAGTATTGACCAGCCTGAAGTTCTTTCTCTTCCTTAAGGAATTCTCAATACACAGTAGCTCTTGGAATTGGAAATCTTTGAACATATTCCTTGGTGAGGTGGGTCCAGCAGACAAGTAAGATGTCTTATTTCCA